CCTAACCCTAACCCTAACCCTAACCCTAACCCTAACCCTAACCCTAACCCTAACCCTAACCCTAACCCTAACCCTAACCCTAACCCTAACCCTAACCCTAACCCTAACCCTAACCCTAACCCTAACCCTAACCCTAACCCTAACCCTAACCCTAACCCTAACCCTAACCCTAACCCTAACCCTAACCCTAACCCTAACCCTAACCCTAACCCTAACCCTAACCCTAACCCTAACCCTAACCCTAACCCTAACCCTAACCCTAACCCTAACCCTAACCCTAACCCTAACCCTAACCCTAACCCTAACCCTAACCCTAACCCTAACCCTAACCCTAACCCTAACCCTAACCTCTAACCCTAACCCTAACCCTAACCCTAACCCTAACCCTAACCCTAACCCTAACCCTAACCCTAACCCTAACCCTAACCCTAACCCTAACCCTAACCCTAACCCTAACCCTAACCCTAACCCTAACCCTAACCCTAACCCTAACCCTAACCCTAACCCTAACCCTAACCCTAACCCTAACCCTAACCCTAACCCTAACCCTAACCCTAACCCTAACCCTAACCCTAACCCTAACCCTAACCCTAACCCTAACCCTAACCCTAACCCTAACCCTAACCCTAACCCTAACCCTAACCCTAACCCTAACCCTAACCCTAACCCTAACCCTAACCCTAACCCTAACCCTAACCCTAACCCTAACCCTAACCCTAACCCTAACCCTAACCCTAACCCTAACCCTAACCCTAACCCTAACCCTAACCCTAACCCTAACCCTAACCCTAACCCTAACCCTAACCTAACCCTAACCCTAACCCTAACCCTAACCCTAACCCTAACCCTAACCCTAACCCTAACCCTAACCCTAACCCTAACCCTAACCCTAACCCTAACCCTAACCCTAACCCTAACCCTAACCCTAACCCTAACCCTAACCCTAACCCTAACCCTAACCCTAACCCTAACCCTAACCCTAACCCTAACCCTAACCCTAACCCTAACCCTAACCCTAACCCTAACCCTAACCCTAACCCTAACCCTAACCCTAACCCTAACCCTAACTCCTAACCCTAACCCTAACCCTAACCCTAACCCTAACCCTAACCCTAACCCTAACCCTAACCCTAACCCTAACCCTAACCCTAACCCTAACCCTAACCCTAACCCTAACCCTAACCCTAACCCTAACCCTAACCCTAACCCTAACCCTAACCCTAACCCTAACCCTAACCCTAACCCTAACCCTAACCCTAACCCTAACCCTAACCCTAACCCTAACCCTAACCCTAA